GTTTGGGGAACAAGAATCAATCCAATAGACCCTAACTGAAAGAAAACGTAGTTTCTAAAAATGAAATATAGGGCTCTCTGGAGAAGATGAGTAGCATATGAGCTTGGAATAGATGTACCTTCCTCATCATCTTACTACATAAGTGATCATCCCTCTCTCCCACAGTAATATAGTTTGGTTGTTTGTGTAGTAAAAATGCCGTACAAATACTTGAGATCTTTTTTAAGGGGTTGGTTCCATATAGGAGACCATGTTGGCTGGTAACATGTCAAATCCAATTAATTAAGTCTTTTGCCAACGTGTCATATGTTAGTAAATAGAAATAAGTTACAATCACTGTAAGTTCAAAGTTATACTGAAGCTGTAATAAAGCTATCCTTTAAGGCTGCACCAAAAACCTGTTGTGTTGATATTGCTATCTTCTAACTTTAAAATATTTTTTCTCTGTTGTATTATACACTTAAAGCTAAAAGGATTCTACATTTTTCTAAAGTAGCAAACTTAAATTCAGTGTTACCCAGGAGAGTTTTTAGTTCCAGTGACAAATTCTTATCTGCTGGTTGTAACAAAGATAGGCCATTCTGACCCATTAGAGAAGCCAAAGTAAATGTTAAGGATATTTCTATTGATAATAGATTTAGAATTGACACCTCATATTCTGGCCCAAAATATCTGCTAAAACTGGCAATCTCTGAAATTAGCCCCTTACAATTTTTATTACCCAGATAATTTGCTAAAAGCCTGCTTTTGTTTATTTAAATAATTCAGAAAAGCATGTCTCAATTACTCAGAATGACTGTTACCATGGTCTCAATTATTGTCCAGAATGACTGTTAAAATTGCAGGTAGGAGGCCGGGCGCGGTGACTCACACCTATAATCCTAGCACTCTGGGAGGCTGAGGTGGGCGGATCCTTTGAGTTCAGGAGTTCAAGACCAGCCTGAGCAAGAGCGAGACCCCGTCTCTACTAAAAAAAAATAGAAAGAAATTAGCTGGACAACTAAAAATATATATAGAAAAAATTAGCCAGGCATTGTGGCACATGCCTGTAGTCCCAGCTACTTGGGAGGCTGAGGCAGAAGGATCGCTTGAGCCCAGGAGTTTGAGGTTGCTGTGAGCTAGGCTAACGCCACGGCACTCTAGCCGGGGCAACAGAGTGAGACTCTGTCTCAAAAATAAATAAATAAATAAATAAAAATTGCAGGTGAGATTGGCTGCCTTTCCAAGGTGTGTGTTCAGCACATGGGAGCACAGGACAGAGAATGAGGGTGTGGGAAGAGAAACAAGATCAGAAAGATTGTCAAAACTGGAATAAACTAAGGGTAGCCAACTCCAAAACCACTGCTCATTTTAGAGTTGAGGAAGCTGGCATTTCTTACTGACCTTGCCCCACTGCTAGAACCTACATATCTGCTACTTTGTTAAATTTCGGGCCTTGAATCCTAGGAATTTCTCTTTTGAAAGAAGGTCAATAAAGATGATCTAACATGGGAAATTTACGTATACTCTTCCAAACTTCCTTCGCCCCTGACTTTTCCCTGTCCTTAGCCATATACAACTCCAGCACTTTACCGTTTGTTACCCACGATGTTATTAAACATCATGTCCTACAACGTGCACCTGCCCAGCAGGGAAGAACACCCAGGGCTGCTCGCTGGGCCCCAGGTCCAGGTTAGCTGGTTTTCACTCTATACCCAGCTTCAAATGTTATGTTCACATACATGTGAATCACTTGAGGATCGTGTTAAAAACACAGGCTCTGACTCAGTGGGCCAGGCCCAGGAACTGAGATCTACATTTCTCACGTACCAGGCTCCCAGAAGCCACTGCTGCTGGTCCAAAATTACACTTCTGGAGAATGCTGTCTGCTCCCATCAGAAGCAGGTTTGGTGGCTTTTCTTACACGTGGATGTTGCTGCAATTTAGAGACAGGTGTGTGTGTGGTATTTTTTGAATCAACAGTTTGCACTCATTATCTCATTTCGACCTCATAGCCAACCAAAAGAATTAAGCCCATTAGCCTCATTGCACAAATGAGAAACTGAGACTTAGAGAGGTTAAGAAACTTGCTCGAGTGAGAGGTAGAGCTGAGATTCAAAACTGGGTCTTTTTTTCCAATACCCAGGGCCTAACTCAGAGTAATGTATTGGGGTAAGTGTGTTCTTTCACATTTTCTAAAAGATTTGGGGCCTATTTTTTTTTACCAAAGGACCATACTCCAACTATCCAAAGGCTGTCACGCCATCATCCCCACTTTCCTCTCAGCCTGCCTAAGACGAGTCCCCAGGGCTCTGGGTGAGGAGTGCCTCCCACTGCTGGCTCATCTCAGGTGAAGCTGCACACAGGTGAAGTTTGCAAGCCCTGAGAGATGGGGCTCAATTTCCAGTGTCATAAGACCCATTCAAGGAGCCTGCATAGTGACCCAGGTTTGTTCGATTCAGGACACACTTGTTGGCCAATACGAGGAGCAGAAAAACCAGAGATGAAGAAAGAGGCTTAAGTGTGCACCCTCGACTGGTTCAACTTCTTGGGTTCTTGGTGTTTGCATTTTGGATGGAATCCACAAACCACTGCTCCTTTGTTCCCTGCTTCTTCATTTCCCACAGACGGAATGAATATTTCCATTGCACCTGCTCTTTTAAGTTTTGACAATGTGCTTTTAAACAATGGGAACAATTGGGTTTACTTTTTGAAGCATAAACAAACCTGATCTTCTGTACTACAAAGCTGTGGTTTATCCTAATCTTTGCTAAAATTCATTAGAGGTCAAGGAAAAAGGATTAGAGGACCTGTTTAGGCACTTAACCTATAATGCCATGGGACAGGGAGGGCTGGGAGGATCAGACAAACATTTATATTTATATACAATTGTCCCTCGGTAGGTGTATGCAGGAGATTGGTTCCAGGACACCCTGTATATACCACAATCCGAGCATACTCAAGTCCTGAAGTCAGCCCTGCAGAACCTGAGTATATGAAGGTTTAAGCAGGTTTCCTATCCCAGCAATACTGTACTTGCAGTCGGCATTTGGTTGAAAACAGTTCGTGGATAAGTGGACCAGCACAGTTCAAACCTGTGTTGTTCAAGTGCCAGCTGCGTACTCATTCAATAAGGCTCTGTTCAATCCCTGTAAAACCATGTCATACTTTTATTAAACATTTACTTCATTCTGACTTACCTCATAGTAGTCTGGATGTTTTGATGTCAGGAACTACATCTTATTCATCTTAGTGTTCCTGGAGTTCCTAACCTAGTGCTTTATCCATAGTAGGCGCTCAATAAATGTTTGATGTTGAAAGAATGAACGAAAGATTGAACACAGGAATATTGTCAAGTTTAGAAACTGGTATCTCAAAGTGGCACATCGACAGTGTCAACAGCAGATATTGCACGGCCACTGTGTCTGGGATGACGCTGGGTGGTTCTGCAGGGGACGGAAGGAATATAACACAGCCCCTGCCCTCCAGAGTGCAATCCAAGGAGAGCAGGTGGTTCTTGGCTGGGAGTGAGACTGTGCGAGGTATGGGGCCCCTCGGCTATTCTAGAAGGAACAGCTCCTCCTGCGAGGAGCACAGGTGGGGACTGGAGTCCTGCTGAGGCTTTTTGGACACCCTCCAGTTCAATCCATCCATCCTCCATCCTGAGAGCCTCACTTAGAACACGACGGAGCCATGGCCAAGAGACCAGGTTGGGTGACTGGTTGGCCAGAGCCAGGTGTTTAAGGGGCACACAAACATTTGATGGGGTTTTTATAGTTAAATTTCTCCTCATAAACTGAGTTACTGATATTCTGGTTTTTGACTTTCCTCTGAGTTGTGCTAGCTCAGGCAGCATCCTCTAGTCAAATCCCAGCTAAGGCACGATATTTGGCACTCTGGCAGCTTACCAGGCTGAGGACCGTGGGGACGGAGGCCACACAGCCTCTCAACGCATGTGCTCCCCCGATACCCCTGAGCACCCTCTGAGCGATGGTGCCACATGCACTGTGCCAGCAGTTGGTATTTTTGCTGTTCCCTGGAAGCGTACATTGTTGCATAGGGGTGGGAGAGTCAAAGTGAGAAAAGGAGACCTAACAATCCTCTAAGTTGCTCTAGAGCTTGAGTGTTTTGAAAGCACTTTGCCTTTATTTTATCTCATTTGATCTTCTCAATAATCCTGTGAAATAGGCAGGGTCACTAACAGAATAGCATAGTGGCTCTTGCAACAATGAGGCAGAAAGGGCTGTTAGGTGTGCTTGCATTGTCACTACACTCTCTTTTGAAAGCCTGCAGATCACCTAGTCTAATTCTTGCTGATTACAGTTGAGGATATAAAGGCAGACAGAGGTGTAGAGAATTGAGTCTAAGGTGAGCCAGCCTACTGGAGACTGGTCCTATGTAGGCCTGCATCTGGGTTTGTTCCAGGGCCCAGGACAGTCTTGTGACAGAAATCAGAGCCCCCAGTTCCCACTGAACATTTCATCCAAACAGACTTGCCTCCTTGCTGCTGTTAGAAAAGATTTTCTTTTGCAGAGTCATTCATGAAACCATTATATTAACTTCTGGTTCTTCTCTTAAAATACCAGACGCAGTCTCTCAAATCTACAGAATACCTTGATATCTTGATAGTATAGTTTCTTCTTTCTTTTTCCTTAAATTGTGAGCTGGAACATTTATAGAGTAGGGCACAAACATATTTATGTGCAATTTTAAGACTAATTAGAAAAACCACTAATTCTGCTCAAGAAACAGAGCATTGCTGGCATCCCAGAAACTTCAAGTGCCCCTGCCCAACCACATCCCCATTCTCCTTGCTAGAAGGGACCATTATCCTCCTTCTGTGATAATTATTTTCTTGTTTTTCTTCATGGTTTTGCCTCCTATGTATGCATCCCTAAACAAGTTTTGTTTGATCTGTTTTAGAATGGCTATAAATGGAGGCATAGCATATGGTGTGTGTTAGTTTGTTGTTTAAAAGTGTTTTTTTATTTTGCCCTTCAGAAAACCCCAAGCCAGGAGTCATGGCAACCAAACCCAAGCTCTACTACTTTCGTGACAGGGGCAGGATGGAGTCCATCCGCTGGCTGCTGGCTGCAGCCGGAGTGGAGGTTCGTTGCTGACCGGGAGAAGGAAGGAGGGTAATTTGGATGGGACTGACGTGGCCCCCTTCAAACTTCAGGATGGCACCTCAGGCTGCACCTACTCTTTTCCTTTCCAACTCTCTTCCTTTGTAAGAGATGACAGATGGATCATAGCTCTGGACAGGTGGGCGTTAGGGAGGAGTTGGGGGCTGGGGGTGTTCTGGAAACTTCATAAGGGTTGAAAAGATCTTGGTGGCTCACAAGACAAAGAAGAGAGAGGAGACCCACAGCCCCCTCACTATCTGCATTGGGCCCGGCTAAATTTCTGCAGCGTTTTCAGCTCTGCCCCAGCAGCGCAGCTGTGTGACACGCATAGCTGCCAGCTGGAACCGTAGGACTAGCTATAGTTTGGTCTCCTCTTGAACTCTCCTCTGAAAGCTCTGCCCCACAGGATCTTTCCTCAACTCTGAATTCCCTCCCCACCAACTTTTCCATAGATTTGCCTAAGTGCCTTGGAATTGTTTTGTTTCATGCAGGGGTAGGCTTCCTGTTCCCTATTTGAATGCCATCTCATCTAGAGCCAGGACTCATTACTTTCTTCGTTTTTCTCTCCTCCTTTTAGGGACCCCTTCCTCTACACTGCTCACCCTACCCTACCCCCATCTCAAGATTTGGGGGACCGAAAAACATCACTTTCTCACAAAAGCTTTAGAAATGCCATCAATAAATGATACTCTCACTTGAGTAATGATCTTCGGATCCCTTTCTTTGAATATATGAGCATCAAATTTGTCCCGATATGGAGGGAGAATGACACAGAGAAGGAGAAGAAAGAAGAGAGAGGAAAGGGAAGAAAAGAAATCACTGGGGAAGTTGGAGAAAGGACAAGAGTTTGGAAAGAGGGAAGAACTAAGTTGAAGAAAAGGAAAACTAGGACTGGGGGCTTGGGGATATCTTTTAAGTAGACAAAAACCAAAAAGGGCTACCCATGCCATGCCGATCTAAGCTAATCTGCACTTGACACACTGCCAGAATTTTCAGCTGACAGATTTGTGGTTCCTTTTAAAGTTTTATTCTGGAAGCCACTGGGCATTTTATACTGTAAGCATTTCTTTCTCTCTCTCTGAATTTAAAGTTATAATAATGCCTCTCTCCTTTGTCTAGTTCGAAGAAGAATTTTTTGAAACAAGAGAACAATACGAAAAGTTGCAGAAGGGTGAGTCCAGATTTATTCAATGTTATCTTATTAGAAAAATAGAAACTTGTTTCTGGAAGTATTTGTTTTGATATAGGACACAGAGCTCTAGAACGGCAAATGTTAGAAAAGGCAAGCACAGAGCATGACTGCTGACATTGGCTGTTTGCTGTGTCCCTGACACACAGCTAAATTTGCCTTCTGCATTGTCTCCTTAGCCTTTCCAAACACTTACCACATAGGTTATGATGGTGGCCTCAGTTAGCATGATCACGTGAGTTGACCAGCGCTGATTGGTTCAATACTCCCCCTCCCACCAAAGAATATTTTAAGAATTATTAAATAGTGATCCAGCGGGTTGGAGGGAAGGGGACAAGCAGGGGGCTGAATCTGACCTAAGATATGTTCTAAGTTCTCATGGTTGACATCTACTTTTTCTTGGTGGTGTTAACAGACTAATAGAAACCATTTTATCAGGTCACAATGTAGAGTCAAGACTATGGAAAATATCCAAATTCGGTTAGATTCCAATCCAAAAAGAAGTCCTCAATCATTATAATTCTCCAGAAAAATTTTTCACACTGAGAGAAAATACTAGAACTTAAACCTCTAACAGCCGTAGCATTATTTTTCCTATCTGAAGAAACCTTGCCGTCTCCATCATTGCTGATAATCAATCATGAAATTAACACAGATTGTTTTTAAGGACATTCAGCTAGTAGTTAGCAGAACTGTCACTTACTAGCTGCATGACTTTGAGCAAGGCCTTTAACTTCCCTGCATCTCTGTCTCCTTACCGTGAAATAAAAATAATTCCTGTGGTTGTAGATTGCAGTGAGCCAGAAGATCTCGAGTTGGGGAGGCCTGGTTACCCCATCCCCAGTTCTTATCTAGGAACTTTATTATCTTCCATCCCTCTGAAGCTCCTCTTCCTTTTTATTTCTGCCTTATTCCACCAAACGAGGATAGTCCCTGGCACACAGTAGGGGTTTATATATATTATACATATGGAGTAAGTGAGTGTAGCTCCATAAACTCTTCCGTGCGCATTCTGGCGGGAAGCGCTCCCTGATAGCCTCTGAAATCCCCCAGCCCTCCCTGAGGCTGTGATGCTGCTTCTGTGCTTGGGACCCCCTCCTGGGCATTGCTGGTACCTGAGGACAGGAGGCAGAGAGGGGCAGCAGAGAGAGCACTGGACTGGGAGTCAGGAGGCCCACTTCTCTTGGCTTAGCTGTGCCCTGACGTGTGCATTTGGGCAAATCATGCTCACCTTCCTTGACCTCTGCAGTATCTTGTCTATAATATGAGGGAATTGAACTAAACGGTATTAAGATCCTTCCCTGCAGTCTTGATCTGAGATTTTTACATCCCTCTGAAGAAGAGCGGCCACTGCTAGAAGCAGGTGTCGTTTCTAATTGACGTGTGTATCTCTCCCAAGCGGCGGCAGTCTCTGGCTTTAGATGCTTGTTGAGCATTGAATGAATGTAGAAATTCCTTTAGGAAATGGAGGTTTTGCAGCCTCCCTGTGAAAACTAATACTGGTGTTTCCAAAGCATGGTTGTAAGCACGGATTTATTTCTACTCAGAGAAACCGGGTAAGCCGGGCAGGACAGATCCCATTACAGGTCAGAAAATAGGCTCAGGTAGTTAAAAGTGGCCTAAACTCATCTAGCTAGCCAGGCACGCTGGCTCTCTGGAAAACTGTCACTGGTTCTTGGGGAGGTGCTGCCCCCACCACCTTCTACTGCCTCTCAAAGCGGGAACAGTGTCAGAAGTTGGAGGAGTTAACTGTGGCTTTGCCAATGCGCTGGTGAAGTCTGGTTCCTATTCTGGGTAAACGTCCTTCTTCTCCACAGTGTGCAGATATTGATGGAAATTTAGAAGCTATTTATTTCTTCAAGATCCCACGAAAAGAGCACCATTTATAATATATCTTTAAATGTATTATTTACATAGGTGCAGTCACTTGCAACAAAGAGAACTTGATTTTACTGAACCTTGATTACTGACAGTATTAGTGTTTTACTTATCTCACTTCATCTTTTCATAATCCTGCTAGGTAGCAATTATTGCTATTCTAGACAAAAGAAGCTGAAACTCAGATAAGTAATTTGCTCAATGTCACGTGGCTTTTGACTTTTGAAACTAGGTGTGCCTGGGTTCTTGCTATCACACCCATCCTGCTGCCATGGACACCCAGAGCGACAGCTCCTGTGCTTTTCAAAGAACGCAGCCTCCCAGACTCCCCCTCTGAGTCAAAGTATCTGGGGAGTGGGGTGGCTACTTTTAACAATGCCCCACTGTTAGGGTGCAAAGGCTTAGTAGGTGCTCGCAACGTGGGTGGAGAAAGATTTCTCACACAGAGATTAAGAGACGTAAGTAAAATTTATTTTATCATTTAGAAGGACAGAGAGAATGAGAGAGAGAGAGAGAAAAGGGGTGAGAAGAGAGCAGGGAGACGGCATGGCATCCGAAGAAAGAGAAGGGGGTGCCAGCAGCGAGACCACATGGCTTGCTGATTTTAAGGGGGACAAAGAGAAGAAAAAAATAGTGATGGCTGTCAGATGATAACAAAAGCAGCAGCAGGTGGATAACAAAAACTGCCAGAGGCCGGACACGGTGGCTCATGCCTGTAATACCAGCACTCCAAGAGGCCAAGGCAGGAAGATCCTTTGAGCTCAGGAGTTCGAGACCAGCCTGAGCAAGAGCGAGACCCCCGTCTCTACTAAAATAATAGAAAGAAATTAGCTGGACAACTAAAAATATGTAGAGAAAAAATTAGCCGGGCATGGTGGCTCATGCCTGTAGTCTCAGCTATTCGGGAGGCTGAGGCAGGAGGATCGCTTGAGCCCAGGAGTTTGAGGTTGCTGTGAGCTAGGCTGACACCATGGCACTCTAGCCCAGGCAACATGGTGAGACTCTGTCTCAAAAAAAAAACTGCCAGGATGTCAAAGTCCAAGACTTCGTTTCCTGCCTTTCCAGGAGATGTGACTCTGTCCTCAAGATGTGGTTGAGGCTGTAGCTTGTTCTTCTGCTGTTTACTCGGGAACTCTGTAAAAGCAGATTCTCAAAAAACAATTTTGAAAGACAGAGATTTCCATCTCTTTTCCGTCCATTCAGCTTTCTTCAGAAGTTTCCCAAAGCAGAACTCCTGCAGGGTGCCTGTTAGTGAGGGAACTCATAGGATTGATCTTTAACCATTACTGGGGAAATTGTAGGGTTAGCTGTTTTCCTATGTGGGATTAGGTATTTTCCTGTTGTTTTTGCAAGGCCGCCCCTTTCGCCCGCTTCAGGTGATTCTCATAGACCATAAACTTTGAGAACCAGAAGCACTTATACTATAGCACAGTTATAGTAAATAAATAAATACAATAAAGTCTTAAATAATCATGATTAACCAACACACAAAATGCATGAAACTGCCAAACAGATCTCAAATTTTACGTAAAGCAAATGGAAGATGTTTCCTCAACAACTGTGGTCTTTAACGCATGGCTTTGGATAAAAACTAAAAATCACTCAGAGAAATTATTAATAGATGTGAACCATCCTGTAGACTTACTGCAACCATTGAAAAAGAGTATCTTAACCTCTCTTTGCTCAAACCACAGATGGACGCCTGCTTTTCGGCCAAGTGCCTTTGGTTGAAATTGATGGAATGGCGCTGACACAGACTAGAGCCATCCTCAGCTACCTTGCTGCCAAGTACGACTTGTATGGGAAGGACCCGAAGGAGAGACTTAGGTACATAGTGTTCATGCCATCACTTGGTCCTTGTCCAAGCTTCTGCCGTCCTGCCCCAGCTGAAACCGGTTCAGGTGTAACCTTTCAGCCTGGACTGAGAGGAGAAGACAAGTGAAACAAAGGGGAGATGTCTTGCCAGACCTGGCACGCCTTGTGCAGAATTCTGAATAAATGCTCCACTTCTCTCCTTTTTGTATATACTCACAGTGCACTGAATGCTGCATGGAGCATTCTCATGTTCTCTCCCACTCCCAACCAGATACGGTCTCAGAAAATGACCTGGTAAACTATCCTACATGAAGGTGGAAATGACTGACTAATCAAACAAGTACCGAGCATTGTATCAGTGATCTATTTACTGTAAATAATGCTGTATAACATTTTACCTTGAGACACATGACTTAAATCAGCAGATCTATGGCACCAGGCTTGACTTATCTCAGCTGGGCTCACTCATCTGTCTGAAGTCAGCCAGGCGGCTCTGGCTTTGGGTGTTGGCTATCTGTTGGGGGACGAACGGGCCTTGTGCCTCTCGTCCTCTCCTCCTGAGCTTGTTCTCATGGCAGCTGGGCAGGGTGCTAAGGGTGAGGGTGAAAGCACACAGGCCTCTTACGTTCTGGACTTAGAACTGGTACCTCCTCATTTTACCTCATTCCATTAGTCAACGCAAGTCACAGGGTTAGCCTGCAAAATAGGCCTCATGGATTGATGGAAGGAGCCAAATCTCATCACAAATACTGGAAGGTGAAGTTTTGTGGCCATTTTTTTGCATCTGTATACTACCAGCATCTCCTCTGTGCTGTGCATTGTGCCGGGCCTGGAGGAGGCTCACTGGGTTGCTACTCCCAGGAATGCTTTCACAGGAGATAAGCAGACTTAAGACAAAACAAAGACTTGCCACTACAAAGTTTTATCGGGATTTGGGGGTCAAGCGGCTTTTTCAGAGGTCTCTGAATGTCGTCCCCGTAAGCATGGATGTGGTGGGGGTCGTCATGATACATATTTAATAGAAGACAGGGTGGGAGAAAGCCCCAAGCTCAAATGTTCAGAAAAAAACAAGAAAGAAAGCATAACATAGGAATGAGCCAAGTCTATAAAAAGTAGCAGCCCAGCCCAATTGTCCCATTTCTCCATCTCTAAAACAGACTTAGTCATTCCAACCTGCAATTCCAAAGGTGTATGGCAAGAGAAGCAATGTCAAACAATATGTGAATAAAATCCTTTTTGACAATGCAAATAAGTACTGATGTGCAAAAGCAGTCTGTTCCTTATTTTTTTTGATGCATATTTTTAAATTGGTTTTTAAAATCTCCATGGTTTTTTTCCAAGATCTGTGTCCTAAGCTATAGATACTATTATTAATATTCTTTTCCTCTTGGTTAGGCATAAACTATAATAGAGTAAAGCAAATGGGCTAGGTGACAATTTAACATGAAAGAAAAATGACTTGTAATTCAGATAGGACAATGAGAGTTTCTTCTTCTTCTTTTTTTTTTTGCATTTTTTTAGAGACAGGGTCTCACTATATTGCCCAGGCTGGACTTGAACTCCTGGGCTCAAGAACTGGTCCTCCTCATTTTACCTCATTCCATTAGTCAACGCAAGTCACAGGGTTAGCCTGGAAAATAGGCCTCCTGTCTCAGGAGGCCTGAGTCAGCCTCCCAAGTGGCTGGGACTACAAATTCATGCCACCATGCCCAGTGCCCGTATTCTTTTAAGTGCTGTTGAAAAGAAAGACAAAGACTACAGAAGATCATTAAACCAAATTCATTAGACAATCAGCACGTAATGGGGGATACAAAGACATGCTTGTAGAGATAACTAGCACAGCATGAATGCACCTATAAACCAGCAAATAATAGTAATATATCTACCATTATTAGGTTTTTTTCCCTAATGATTGTCATTGTGCAAAATGATCCTTTGTGTTTCTTTTAATCTTTTAATCACTAGTTTTTGAAGTTGGATTAAATTGTTTTTTGCAATCTGCATATGACTGCAGTAACATAGGAAGTTTTTTGTTCATTTGCTTTTAGAAATGGAGGATCTTGCTACATTGCCCAGGCTGGATTTGAGCTCTTGGACTCAAGGGATCCTCCCACTTCAGCCTTCTCAGTAACTGAAACTCTAGGCATGCGCCACTACACCATTATTCGTATTTTTTTTTTTTTTTTTTTTTGAGACAGAGTCTCACTCTTTTTGCCCGGGCTAGAGTGAGTGCCGTGGCGTCAGCCTAGCTCACAGCAACCTCAAACTGCTGGGCTCAAGCAATCCTTCTGCCTCAGCCTCCCGAGTAGCTGGGACTATAGGCATGTGCCACCATGCCCAGCTAATTTTTTCTGTATATATATATTTTTACTTGTCCAGATCATTTCTTTCTATTTTTTAGTAGAGACAGGGTCTCGCTCTTGCTCAGGCTGGTCTCGAACTCCTGACCTTTGAGCGATCCACCCGCCTCAGCCTCCCAGAGTGCTAGGATTACAAGCATGAGCCACCGCGCCCAGCCCATTATTCATATTTTTAATAACCCTTTTCTTTTTTTTTTTTTTTTTTTTTAGTGTTTGTCAATGAAAGGAAAACTTTAAAAGGAATGAAATAGAGCTGTTTGTCTGACCTGACTAGGAAATTAAAATTTTCTTTCTCAGTTGCCAGGTCAATGGAACACCTGTTAAATTACATATCTTTTCTAAATAATCAAAAAGGTTCTGGTACTAACAGTTTTGAGTTTTTGGTAAACTTCATTGAGTTCAATTTTTAAAGCTGTAATAATCCAATTATTTGTTGATAGCAGATTTCAACTTGGAGGCATTCATTAGTCCTTTCATACATCCTTTTATTCAGTAAAAATTTCCAGAGACCCTGCTATATTCCAGTCACGTAGCTGGTTCTGGTACCAGAAATCATTCATGAGAGTGGAACCTTCAGGGGGATATTCAAAAATCATTTGCCCCAACATCTATTTATACCATGGAAGTGTTGGATGAGGGAACCCTATACTAGAAAATTCCCCTAGTAATGAAAGTCAACCGGTGTTTTGTCAGGATCGACATGTACACAGATGGCACCCTGGACCTGATGACAATGATAATGGTGCGTGCGTTCAAACCCCCTGCGGAAAAAGAGGAGACACTTACTTCAGTTGTGAAGAGTGCTAAAACCCGGTACTTTCCCGTCTTTGAAAAGGTAGGCTGCAGGGGTCCAGGGCTTTTACATTTCCTCTTGCTGAGAATATTTCCAGAGTGAATATCTGAAAAGCTTTCCTACTTTTGGATCAAAACTTTAATAAGGATTCCAAAACAAACAACAGGTAAAATTATGGAGCCTCCAATTAAAACATAATCTGAATAAACCAAGTGCAATGAGAGTATACAGCATTTCTGTTCGGATTTTAAAAATAAGCCATCAGCCCAAAGTGTCCCCACCTTGAATTCACTGTCAGATACCTTATTAGGTCTAATATTAGAGGTTAATCATGCTTCAGTCAAGAGACAAAGTCTCTTAAAATGACAATTTTTCTGAAGTAATTTTGAAGTCAATACTAATGACAAATGTCCTCATAGTCCATCTAGGGAAGTTCCAAACCTAGAGGACAGCATGGGAAATGATAAGGAAGACTTGTTAGCATAAGGTTTTACTGTCAAAAGAATTTTGTGGTATATATATCCTCAGTCTCAGTCCTGGAAAAGAATGACTTATTATTGACTAAACTATAATGAAGAATTCTGTGAGTACCTCAGAGTATTACATAAGCAAGTTCCTATTAATCCAACAACGTACAGTGTTGTTGAAATACCTTCCCTTCAAAATAAGTACAGTGATTATTTGAGTTGTACTTTTCAGTGTGCTGTATCATACTGCAGATTTTGAAGTCAGTGTGTGGCCTAATCTGGTACTTCTCAAAACATTTTAAAATTATTTATTCAAATCAGGATCAAACTCAACTTCATTAATTTTAATTGATCAATACATTTCTTAAGACTTTTTAAATCTATAAGGTTCCCCATTTCCTCTCTTTCTCTCCTTTTTTCCCCTTGCATTTGTTTTGTGGAATTTCTCATAGTGTGGATTTTACTCATTGTGACATATTCCTTTGTTTCTAGATTTCTCATAAATTAGAAGTTAGAAGTAGAAGCTTGATCAGGGTCAGGTCCAATTATTTTGGCCAGATTGCTTTACAGGTGGTGTTGTGCAGGTCGTCAGGAAACACAGATTGTCTGATTGTTGCTCTTGGGATGTTCATGCAATTGATGATCAATGCCATGCCTAGATTAATATCGATTTATTAGCAGATGCAAAATGTTGACATTCCAATCTTGTCAGTCTCTCTTCATTTATTAGCTGGAACCTTTTCTATAAAAAGAATTTACCCATCATAATATATTTGGCTGCTCTGGGATATGAAAGAAAGTAGGATAAATGTTCTATTTTCTTTCTTTTTATTCACCACTTTAAAAAAGTGAGTTAGTTACCTAGTGTCTTCAAAGGAGAGGAATGAGTTTTTTATTATTATTATTATTGTTGTTGTTTTTGCTTTTGTCCTTTAAGTAACACTATGATACAATTTATTGTCATGGATTTAAACACATTTGTTGTATGTTAATTAGTTTCAAAGCTCTTATTCTTAATGAGGCTCAAATATCCTATCATTTGGCCAATGGTAGCTTCTTCAAGTTTGCTCCTGGTCCTTTCGACGTGACCCCAGCAGTCTTCCTTGCTCTCTGGTATGGCAGGATGCTCCAGGCTCATCTTGAACATTTCCTTCTCTAGACCTGCAATCAGCCATTTTCCCAAGGAGCTCTGGTTACTTTTATGTTTCCTAACTTTTCCATGTCATAGTACTCATAGAGAATGATGACATTTGTATGGTGTTGGGGCAAACACACAGCTGGAAGAGACAGCTTTGGGGGCTCCACCATGCCAAGCCCTGCTTGACAACCTCAAGAGCTTGGGGTTCAAATTCTCAAATATTAATGCACAGCAATGAAGCGTGGCACCCCGAGTGATGCATTCTTTGCCTGTCTAACCCTCTTTAATCAGATTTTAGATCATTCAGAACAGGCACTTATAAAACTATTCTATTATTAATAATATTTAACTTGGAGTTAAAAATAGTTTTATTTTTTTAAAATATACCTTAGTGTCTAGTATGTTCCCAGAGAACCTTTTAGGAAAATGGAACTATATGATTCATTCATCTCCTAGTTGTTCTTTCTGAAATAAGTAGATGCTAAATACTTCTTGAGTCTAGTCTTTGGCTGAGACTGAATTACTTCTACTCTCTAAGACAGGATGTAGTAAATAATTTTGATTGTGTTTTGAAATCAAATGCAAAGTTACTAATTTCCCTGTGATGAGGTAAAGAACTAGGAATTATTTCAAAATGGTGTCACCCTGGCATGCCACTGGGACTTGGGCATGTGTTATTTTTAGATGCCAAGCCATCTTTCTTCATATTCTTCTGATCAAGAGCATATATTCCGGAGACTCTCAGTCTGAGCAAGGTGTTCTCTCTGGGGCTGAGGGCTAGAGCTTTTCTCTGTGTGAAGATAATGGCCCTCAGCAGAAAACAAGCCTTGCTTCTTGGATTCATCTAGATAACTAAACTGCGTTTGCCAAATCAAAGAATATCTCTACTTCAACTCCATAATGTAGGTAATGTATTTTGAAATATGTAAGTCCAAGTTTTTGCATTCAGAGATTAAATGCTATTTCTGAAAATAAGGTGAGTTTTTAAAATCATTTTATGAGAAGTAGATGCTCATTATTAAAAAATTGGACAATACAGAAATGTAGAATGTGGAAAGAAATTATTACTACTACCCCTACCACCAAAAGATAAATGGCAGTATTATTTTCATGTATTTCCTTCTAATCTTTTCACTATAAATAAGTTTTTATTTAGTTTTTTAGATTTTTAGATAATTATAATTATACAAAAGATAATTTCACCTGTTACTCTATTACAATTGGCCCTTGAGCAACACAGAAATTGGGGCACCAAGCCCCCATGTAGTCAAAAATCTAAATATAACTTTTGACTCTACCCAAACTTAGCTACTAATAGCCTACTAATAACATGAACAGGCAATTAAGACATATTTTGTGTTATATGTATTATACACTGTATTCTTATACTAAAGTAACCTAGAGAAAAGAAAATATTATTCAGAAAATCGTAAGGAAGAGAAAATATATTTCCTGTTCATTAAGCGAAAGTGGATCATCATGGTCTTGATCCTTGTCATCTTTATGCTGAGTAGGCTAAGGAGGAGGAAGAAAAGGAGTCGGTCTTGCTGTTTCAGGGGTGGCAGAGGTGGAAGAAAATTCACATATAAGTGGACCCCACACAGTTCAAACCTATATTATTCAAGGGCCAACTGTATTTAAAATATTTTCAAAAGCAGAACTGCTACGTACCTACTACTCGGCACTAGCAAATGTCAATACTTTTATTTTGTTACTTAAGATCTTTTTCTTTCTCCTTAAAACAAATCTATACAGATAGTTGCAGTCTCCTTTGGACTGTGCTCAAATATCATATCCCTTACTCTCTCCCTCCCCAGAGACAACCACTATCAGGAATTTGATAAAAATTCTTTCAGTCCATTTTAAAAAATAAAGACCTAGCTTTGGGTTGTTTTAAAATTTTTTACATATGTAAATGTTAAAATATTTTTATGTGCATAGCACCATCATACTCTGTTTGTTCTACAACTTGTTTTTTTCAATCAACTCTGCTGTTGAGCTGCACTGGCAAATGTCTTGTCATTACTAATACATTTGTATTTACCCCTTTCATTTTATTTTGTTTTCCACTTACAAATACAAGATTTTTGCTTTGCCTTTCCCCCCTCCTTTCTAAATCCTGTTAGATTGATCAGGTTTTCTTTATTCCCAAATTTTCTTCTAATGGTTCAGAAGATAAACATTTCTTTCTTCAACTATTAGCCTTTATCCTTCTCAACTTTCCTCTAAACTTCTCTCTTCTTCCCCTTTTCAATGTTTTTGTTGACTATTATTTTAAATCCAACTTGTTTTTAACCTTCTCCTAATTGTTTTTTTTAAAAAACAGTCACTACTTACGTATAATGGATCTGTTGACATGCCTATCTGATTATTTGCTCACCATTGCTCCTTGCTTCTCATGCTCATCTTCCAGGTGCTTTTTCCTTCTTCACGAAGAATATATATTTTTCAGTTCTTTCAGGAAAGGTCTATGAGTGATTAGCTCTTTCAGTCTTTGTCAGAAAATATATTTTATCTTCTCTCTAAAGTGGTTATTTAGATGGTTATAGAATTCTAGATTAATAATTATTTTTACTCAACATTTTGACGATATTACAATGTCTTCTGGCTTCAATTGTTGCCATTCAGAAGTCTGTCATTATTGTGATTATTTTTCCTTTGATGGTATGGTATTTATCTTTTTTCTCATTTTAGATTTTCACTTTATCTGATATACTTTCAATGCTATGTGTTTACTTCTGGATTTGTTTTTGTTTATCTGTTTGTTGTTCTTTTCGGTCTGAGGATTTTCCTCTTTTTTTTTCATTCTGGAAAATTCGCTATCAAATAGCATTGAAAATTGCCTCTTTCCTATTCTATTTTGTCCTTCTGGGCTCCTGTTAGACATTTGTTGGAGCTTCATTCTGTCTTTTATGTCTCTTAACTTCTCTTTTTTACTTTCAGTCTCCTTATCTCTGTGTGTTTCCTTAGATCTATGTGCCAAATTACCGATTGTTTTTTTAGTTTCTCCATTGAGTTTTTATTATGTCAATGTTTGTGTGTTTCATTTCAAAAATTTTATTTGTATCTTTTTCAAATCCATATGCTCCTTTTCTCTACATGCCTTTCTTTTCATTGTCTCTTTGAACATTTTAAACATTTTTAACCCTTTACAGAATTTACTCCTGTTTTTGGCTCTGTGGCTCAAAATTCTCCTTTTTCATTTGTCTATTGCCTCTGTCTCATAGATGAGTTAGGTTTCTTTACTTGCTGTGTAATTTTTATATATATACTTGTCCTTAGCAGGAGTCACATTCTGTATATTTGATGTATCCCATCAAGCGTTTTTATCTTTGCCTTGGCCAGGATACTCTAGAATTCACTAATTCTAAACATTTTTTTTGTCCACATTAACATTTATTTTTATTTCGGTATGTGTCACAGGAAAAGACTTGGTGCCTGAATTTACTTCTGTTCTTTATTTGTAGAGTAAACCTATATTTAATGCATCTTCTACTCAAAGCTGCACCTGAGAGATTTTTTAACATTCACTTTTCACTGGATAGTGAAAAATTAGCTTTTTATGGGGCTCAGGTTTGGACTTCTGATTCCTCATTGGTGACTTGTTTCTACTGGTGACGTAGCAGCCAGGCTGCGGCTAATGGTAGCTTTTGTGTCTCCCTGTACCAGTGGATAAACTTTTCCTTAACTACTTTCAGGTTTGTAACAGGAGCCCTGTTCCAGCACTTCACCACCCAAGGAGCCTTAACAGTCACTGACAAACTTCCAGAAACATTGTGCCAATTCACAGCATGTGCAAGAGTATTGGTTTCACTCTATCCTTGCCAGCATTGGAGATTTTAAAAAGAAAAAAGATTCTTCAGTAAATCTGATCTGTACAAAACATTTCATGCTTTTGTAAATGTTTAGCAAGGCAAAATAGTCTTTACTTCCATTTGATATTCTTTTTATTTTTCTTTCTGTAGATTTTGAAAGACCACGGAGAGGATTTTCTTGTTGGCAACAAATTGAGTTGGGCGGACATACAATTGCTGGAAGCTATTTTAATGGTGGAAGAACTCGATGCCTCTGTTCTTTCTGACTTCCCTCTGCTAAAGGTAGTATATTAATATCCACACATAGTCCAGGAAAAAATGAACAGAAACAAAGACTGAAACAAAATGTGCTTTTACGCCATTCTCAAAAGAAACTTAAGAAGATGGTTTTGAAAGTCATTTTATTCATTTTGGTTATTTTCTCTTTTTTAGACTATGGGATCTGTTAGGAAATAAAACCTCATGAAGGGAGAAAATATAGATTATTTTGATTCTGCCTTGAACATTTAGTACTTTCCCTTTTTAGGACTTCGAGCATATTTTCCTGATGAAGCAAGGCTGACAAGTCTGTTTTCGTTGCCTCCCTCTGCAGCTTCTACCAGACGACTCGGGCCACTGTTGGTCCCTCGATGCTGCCCACCCTGCTCAGTGCTTCTGCGTGGGTGGCACTGCCAGTCTCCTGTTGCACTGCCCCTGCCCTCAGACAGAATTCTGCCACTGCCAGACCTCACCTGGCCTCTGTTCCAATTCCTTAGAAACATTTTATCTAATCAGTGACCATGGATTTTGTAGTTCAAGAATAGCATTTTTTTCCTTATTACAAAAGAAATGCAAGTTCCTGTAGCTACCTTAGACATTTATATAAATGAAAAAAAGAAAAGGAAAAAAAAAGACCTATAATTCCAGCAGCCAAATGTTGCTGCATGAGATTTCCTGACCTATTATTTTGCATTTTTCCCCCAAATAGTATGATCTCTAGATCATACTAGAGATTGTTTTGCAGCCCGCTTTTGACATTCTTTTCAATTATCATGAATATATGTAAATGTCAACAAATATTCTTATGCAATGTTATGCTATTTTATTTTCGTTAGGTAATAGAATCACATCTTTTTGAAAAATCAGAGCTATCTAAAAAGGGCATAAATTGAGAAGTCTCATTCCTACCACTGCTCTCCCACCTTCCAGCTCTCTGCTTTTATTGGTTTCCTGTGTATCCTTCCAGGGCTCCTATTTATGCAGATATAAGCAAATAGGAATATATATTCTTATTCTCCCCTTTACTCCCATTTTCTTACACAAAACAGAAAATAGTGTATATTCTGTTTTGTCCCAGGTTTTTCCACTAAACAATGCTTCTAGAGATCTTTCCCTGTCAGTACAGGGACCTCTCTTTTTCCTATTATGTAACAGCATTTTAAATTACTGGCATACATTCTTTGTAGGGATATACCATGATTTCTGTAACCAGTTTCCTTTTCCTAGAAGCATAGGTTATGTTCAATTTTTCACTGTGTTAACATTCTTATAGCTCTTTATTTGCTCACACCCTTACTTATTCCTTTATAATAATTCCTAGAACAAGAATTAATAGGTCAAAGAATATAAATATTTTAGCAGTATTTTTTTTTTTTTTTGAGACAGAGTCTCACTCTTTTTGCCTGGGCTAGAGTGCCGTGGCGTCAGCCTAGCTCACAGCAACCTCAAACTCCTGGGCTCAAGCGATCCTTCTGCCTCAGCCTCCCGAGTAGCTGGGACTACAGGCATGCGCCACCATGCCCGGCTAATTTTTTTCTATATAGTTTTAGTTGTCCAATTAATTTCTTTCTATTTTTAGTAGAGACGGGGTCTCGCTCTTGCTCAGCCTGGTCTCAAACTCCTGAGCTCAAGCAATCCACCCGCCTCGGCCTCCCAGAGTGCTAGGATTACAGGCGTGAGCCACAGCGCCCAGCCCTATTTTAGCAGTTTTGATATGCACTGCCTGATTGTGACAATGACTTTTTAATAAGATAATTTAACTCATGCTAAACTCGTCAACAATAGCATCATCCTGGTATTATCCCAAGAACACCTAGCAAGCACTTACTGAAGGATTAATCAGATTCAACACACTAGGCTCCATAAACTGAAAGTCTAAGCACACTCCACTCATGACAAAGTTTTGCTTTTTCTTAAAGGTTGTAATTGCTATTGAGGTCCTGATTTTACTGTTTTTCGTTTTAGGCATTTAAAACAAGAATCAGCAACATCCCCACAATTAAGAAGTTCCTGCAGCCTGGGAGTCAAAGGAAGCCACCCCCGGATAGCCAGTATGTGGCACTAGTCAGGAAGATTCTGCAGTTCTAAGGGCAGCAGGTCTCAGGCTGGCCAGAGTAACGCTCTACTTGCTGCGCCAGCACACGCCATCTGTGGTGAACGGTAGAAGCAAGCTGTAGATTCTAGGAGCTCAGTGTCTGAGAAGAACAAAGCCATGCTGCCATCAATGGCAAACGCTGATTAAATGCGATAGAAAACCATTCGGATGTGCGAGGGTCTTTTTGATCTTGTCAACTGTGGATGACGGTCTACAACTTTTATGAAATCCATGTTCAGTATAAATAAATAGAAGCTGGGTATATGTAGGGCAGTGACCTACACACGACACTGCTCCACTGTCTGCAGAAAGATCAAGACCAGAGATTGGGGGAAGAGTGACCAGAGATTTGGGGGGCAGGATCTCTCCAACACCCACACTGATTGCTGAGTACTTGGGATAGAAACAAGTGGCAAATGACAAATTGAGAATAAGACAATGGCTGACTCTAGTAAATCTTAAGGGGGACAGAAAATGTTCAGGGAACACCATTTTGAAACCCTAAAAAAAAATAATTAGATGACCCTCTTCCACCTAACAGAGCCACCCCAAGACTGAGTTTGGCTTTGCAAGACTGAGGTAGCACTGAGGTTAAGGTATAACTGATGACTATCCTCTTATACAAAGTAACCAAAGACTCCCTAGCCTTGATATACTTTCTTAAGGTAACTTATGTTGCCGAGTTGTGTAATTTGGAGCTCAGCTCATTTGATGGGGGATGGAGGAACTGACTGGGTGACGTTACAGCTACAACTCTGGTTCAGATGGCCTCTGGGCTACAGCAAGGGTCCTGCCAGTGGTTTGGGCTACACAACTATACCAGCTCCAAACTCACCCAGGCTGCACATTTTATCAATTTCTGAGTGTTTATCCAGGTACCTGTTCTTATTTGTGAAATGACTTAATGATTCACCGGAGTTCATGCCATTTCCACAGGGCATGACCATTCCTAGATTACGTTCTGCTCTATCCATTCTTCCTCCCTCCTTCACATGATGGACTGATCAACAGAGCTATGATAACCCGGGCCACTCAGCACCCCTTGCCCCAGTCTGTGTGGGCCTGAGCTCCTGCTCCCGGAGTGGTCAAATCCCAATCTGGGCACTAGCATTCAGCTAATCATCCCATCTCATTTCCCACCCTGAGACAGCCATTGCCAGACAGCTACTGGGTAATGAAAAGTAAGACAGATTGGGAGAAAAGGCTTTTCAGAGGAAAATCCTGCCTCCCTCTACGTGGGATGACATTTTCTTCTGACCCTAGAGAAAGTAAATGAAAAAAAATGTATTTTTTTTAATTATTCAAAACTGTAGAAATTTCTTTTTGTTATATTTACATGGTCTTGGTAAATAATTGAAACAATTTAAAAGGCTATCCAGTAAAAAAATAAAATTCTCCCTTCTCTGAATTGTTTTAAAAATAACCACCTCCTGGGCCCTTACTCCTTGCCCTGGTGCCTTTCTTTTTGTTGTTGTTATTTAGACTTTAGTGTACAAAGAATTAAAACCTGGGCATTGACTCCCCCAATGAGCCTTTCTAACTTGATGTTGACAATTGATCTTCCTTTAGACTCCTCTCTAAACTTTAAAACGTGTGACTGCTGCACGAGAACTCAGCACAGAGCTAGAGGGAGAGAGGTTAACTAACACTAAGCCCCGGAGGCGATTTGCTGCCACTAGACTGCCAGCCCCAAGCAAAATTGAGAGAATGGGGTTTGTTTTTCTTGGGAGCTGGGGGGATTGTAGTTGTTGCTTTTAAGCAAAGAAGGGGATTTATTAATATACACTTTTGGAAGGACAAGTATGAATTCAGGGACTTTCAGACACAGATTGCCCATGTCTTACCCTGACATCGGTGTCATCCTCGGGCTCTGTTATTGGCTCATCCTCCTTGGTGTCCCTGCTGCTGCCACGGAAGTCTTTTTTTATTTCAAAGTATTACAAGAGTACAAATGTGTTTGGTTACATGGCTCGTCACCCTGATAGTGTTCAGGGTACCTGTTAGGTAGGTTTTGCCCATCCCCTCCTCCCTCCTCTCCCCTGCTTGATTTCCATTGAGATTTACTGCCCCCTATGCACATGTGTGCTCATCAGCTCTTGATGCAGCCAAAATGGAACCACGTGGGGGAGGCAGGCGAGCTCCCCCAACCAGTGGGGCTGGTGTTAGCAGGAGGAGTGGAGGAGAGAAGCTGGGCTGACAGAACCACAAAAGTCTATCTACCATGGCCCCAGTTTACAGATAAGGAGAGTGAGGCTCAGCGAGTCCCTTACCCCGTGAGCCAAGCTCCTACTGTACTTGTCACCAGCGGGAATGACATCCTGCTTTCAGGGATGGGAAAAATTAGACCCAGAGAGAGAAGGCAAGTTTGTCTCAGATCACAACCTAATGAGTTGCTGAACCAGAACCTCAATTCAGAAGTTAGGTCCCATTTTTTAAGAAACATATTTGGCAGTAGCCTGGTGTTCAGTTGGGGAGACTAAAAATAACTAGGAAATAGGTCTCTCCTGTTAGCTAAGAGGTGGCAAGTGTTTCCACTCTGGGTCCTTAGCAGCCATTAGAAAGTTATGAGTTAGTACCTATTTTTTCCCCCAAGGCCATTCCCACCCTGTATCTATTGGACCCTTCCAAAAACCTTGCAAAGAATAGGACTTTCTTCTTTCAGATTGCAACATCTTTGGATCTTGATGCATTTTTTGGATGAACCTTTTTATCAAAGTAAAACAAACATACAGTAAAGGGAACACATCTTAAGTATACCAATGTTTTTGGTTTTGTCTTTACAAATGTCGCATTTCTATTTTTCAAACAGCATTATTGAGGTATAATTCATATATTATAAAATGTTCAATGACTTTTAGTAAATTTATATAGTTGTACAACCATCACCTCACTCCAGTTTTAGAACAGCACCCCACCCCCGAAGTGTCCTGGTTCTAGTCAATCACTGCTCCCTCCCCAGCCCCAGGCAGCCACTGGGGTTACACGGGCTGTCACGCTTTCTGTCCCAGGCTATTTCACTTCTGCTCAGTAACACTGGCTTGAACCCACAAGGCCAAGACGATCAGCCCGGGTCCTCTTCTTGTGGCTTTCTCTTCCTGAATCAGAAAGGTCTGGCCGAATTTCCCTCCTAAGTGAAGCTCTGCCCTGCACCTGCAGCTCCACATCTTACCAGTGTCATTCACGGGCATCACAGACACCACCTGCCAAAGAGAGAGTATGTCAAGATCCTGTGGAGAAGACGTCAGAAAGCCCCTAGATCCGTTAGGACTTTGAGGTATAATCTCAAGAAAAATAGGATTTAATGCAAAAGTAAGCTATAATTCAATTAGCAAAGAAAAGGGGGCTAAGGGGCAGAAATTTGCATCCCGTTCTAGCACCTGCACGCGAATACTCGGGGCTCCTGGCACAGAGCTTCCCAGCCTGTGCGCACTGAATGGGTTGCAGGGGGCCAAGGCACTGATCGTCTCAGCCTCTGGGGCAGCTGGAGCAACCTCCTGGTTTACCCAGGGCTTACAAATAGTGCCATTTCTTCTCCTTGCTAGTTTGCAAAAGGTTGGAACTGCTCTGGGGTTGGAGTGGGGGCGGCTGATGGTGGTCCCGGAGTCGAGCCGGCTCTCGACATCACCCTACTTTCCTAGGTTGGATTCTGTGCTCTCCACAGCCTCTCTGGTAGATTTTTCTCCAGGGTTGAGAGGGTGTGGGCCAGCCATCAGGAGCATCTAATCCTCCCGGCAATTATGTTATTCTTGTAAAACAACAGACATCTCTGGTTTGCATGTGTGTGTGAGTTACCATGGTAACATATACATAATATAAAATTTACCATTTTGACTATTTTCAAGTATACATTAAGTGGCATTAAGTACATTCACGTTGTTGTGCAACTGCCACCACCATCCATCTCCAGAACGTTTTTGTCATGTCAAACTGAAACTCTGTACCCATTCAACAATAGCTCCCCATTTTCTGCCCGCCCCCTCAGCCCCTGGTAGCCACCATTGTGGCTGCATTCGCCATGAATTTGCCCATCCTAGATACCTCACGTAAGTGGAATCATACAATATTTGTCCTCTTGTGTCTGGCTTATTTCACTTAGCACAACGTCTTCAAGGTCCGTCCATGGTGTAGCATGTGTCAGGATTCCATTCCTTTTTAAAGCTGTCTTGTGTGTTTTTAATGGAAGTAAGGTACCTCCTGTTGCCTTATACCCATAGACACTCTACCCATTCGTGTTTTAGGGCCTGCAGAGCTGACACGCAGACCCTGGGCGGGATGACCCGGCAAGACACGGCCATCTGTGTCTGAGACACCAACTGGGATTCTGTTCTTTCTGGCTTCTTTAACCACCAACACTCTGACTGACCCTTTACAGTTAGTTCTCAGATTTCTTTAACCTCTCTCTGCACAATTTGTTCATTATGCCTCATATTTAATTGCGGTAAAAGGCTTTGTTCCTTCTAAAGGAATTTCAGGTACACGGAAATAGGTATGGCCATATCAGGGATCAAGGGTCCTTTGTGCTGAAACGACACCACATAGAGATTGTTCCAGGCAAAAGTCATGAGAAAAAGTAACATTTACTGGGCACTTTCTGTGGACTAGGCTCTCTTCCAGGTACTCTACATCCGTCATATGATTTAATCCTTTCGGTAACCCTCCAAGAGACACACGATCATTTGAGTTTGTACAGGTGAGAAAAGTGAGGCCCTGAGAAGCTGGGGGACCCAGGTTCCCAGAGACGGGAGCAAGACTAGGGCAAGAAGCCAGGCCTCCTTCTGCCAGGCCCCAACCACCTTTCTCTTCCAGAGCTAAGGGCAAATATTTGTAAAACACAAGACTTTAGAAAGATTCAGATGCCATCTTGTTTCCCAGCATGGCCTCTGACAGCATTAAGGAATCCGGACCTCCCTGCTCAGCCCAGCCTCCCAGTACAGCCAGGTCCACCAAGGGGGCAGTCTGCTTTTCTGGAAAAGGTGGTGGATAACTGCAAGAG